GTTGTCTTCCATGAAAGCTTCACGACCGTCACCAGAGCTACCCCGACCACCTTTTGCTATGAGCCATAGCTTATCTCTTGGACCGCCGCATGTCACCGAGAGGGATGTGTGTTCGGTGTTCCGCCATCGGGTGTGTATGTTTGTCGCTGCTGAGGTCGTAAACCACCAACCAACACCGTCGCAAGTAGTGCTGATGAAGCCAAAGGCATTGAAGTTGATGTTGTGGCTGTGTGGTGTCACTCTTGGATGCGTTCCTCCGTTCCTTCCGCCTAGCCGTCGTTTGTCATCGCCGCTGTAGTGGTTTCGTCGGTCTTTCCATCGCCCCGACGGCTGCTGCCACCTTTTCGTCGCCACCAGCCACCGTGGAAGGTGGCTGTGGATGTTTTTCCGCATGTTTAGGTGTGTTGATGTAGTGGTTTGTATGTATTGCTTTCGCCGGAAAACCAAGAAAGTCACCGCCACCACCTTGAGGTGGTGGCTGCCACCATCTCCCACCACCGGCCACCACATGGTGGCTGTGTGTGTGTTTATGTTGTTTAGTGTGTGTGTGTGTTAGTTAGTGTGTGTTAGTGTGTGTGTGTGTGTTTTTTTTTTTATAAAAACCTTGTAATTGTAATTAGCATGAATAATAAAAAATAATAGTAACCACCACCGTAAGGTGGTGGCCGCCGCCATGAGCCGCCATCAACCACCACTACCCGAGGTGGTAGTGGGTGGTGCCCCGCTAGCAAACCCTAATGGGCTTAGAGATTGGTTTTGGGCCTATTGGGCCATGTTTGGGTGGAAAACCCTAAATATGAGTATTTAGGCCTTGGACTTATTTGGATCCACTTTTGGGCCATAGGGATTGGATTGTGAATCAAGCCCCAAACTATTTCATGCCATTTATCTAGTAGAATAAAGGACTTAATGGAATAAGTCCTTAATGGGCTAATTGAGAAAATACTAATATTTGAGAAATTATCAGGACACACACACGAGAATTATCTAATAAGTGAAATATTAAATAATAATCATTGGTAGAAATTAATCTAAGCAATAATGGACTTAATGGATTAAGTCCTTTACGGATTAAGTCCCTAGTGGGTTAAGTAAGAAACACTTAACCCTAGTTATCATTTGATGTGAAACCTTAATTTCACTTGGGCTTTGTATTAGGCCATCCGAGAATAATCAAATGGACTAGAGTAATTAGTTGGGCTTTAGGGTAAGGCCCATATGAAGGATTGGGCCCAATTTGGAAAATTAGGCCATAGATGGGCCATAGTTGGGGCCTAGATGGTTGTATGATATTGGGCCCTAAAATGATACATGTTGGACTGGATTGATTAATTGGGCCATATGTTGGACTTTGATCCCTAGTTGACTTTGGGCTATGGATTGGGCCTTGGGCTTGGGTAAGCCAAGCTAGGGGTAATGTAGTAATTATCCAAAGCATGTATTTTTTAGTTATGTGTTAGAACCCAATTATTAATTGGGTGTTATTTGGTGTTGACAGTTCGGGAATCTGTCAGCCAGCAGCTGGGGTGGAGTCTGCGGGACTTTAGCAGTGTGGGATTGTGTCTGCGGGACTTCAGCAGTGTGAGGTGAGTTTCCTTCCAGTAGGAACGGGTCTAAGGCCAATGCCGGCCCGTTTAGTAGCAGTAGTTTCCGGACTTTGGTCCGATGCAGTTGTTAGTTTGTTTGATGCCTTCGTGGCTCAGACAGATTTATGTGTTAAGTGTTATGGGCTACAACATGATGTAGTATACAGTATATGAGTTTATGATCATGTGTGTTATGCTATTTGATATGTGTTTTGCTATGCTATGCTATGCCCAATCAGTTCCGGATTTTGGTCCGATGCAGTTAGTTCCGGAGTTCGGTCTGATGCAGGGGACAAGGTCCCAGTCAGTTCCGGACTTCGGTCCGATGCAGTTAGTTCCGGACTTTGGTCCGATGCAGGGGACAAGGTCCCAGTCAGTTCCGGACTTCGGTCCGATGCAGTTTTCGGGCTTCGGCCCGATGCAGTGGGCAAGGCCCAATATGTGTTTATATGTTATTATATGGTATGTGGTAGTTTGGGGGAGCTCACTAAGCTACGTGCTTACAGTTTCAGTTTTGGTTTCAGGTACTCAGTTTTCAAAAGAGGAGCTCGGGAAGATTGCAGTGCACACACCATTTGTTCAGCCTGGGATGTTTATACTCTGATATATTTGATAGTTGCTCTAATATTTTGAGATACATTGCTTATGATTTCTATATGAGGTTTATTGACTATGGTTTTATCATTAAATTAAACGAAATTTTCAGACTGTGTTTTTGGGATGTTACACAAGCAACCTCCTTGTTCTCATCCATCTTAGTCCCACTATTGGCTCTTTCCTGGTATAAGGATACCTCGCAGCAACCATACTGACAAAATACTCTAGTAAAAAGGTCACCACACTTGCTACCCTACAGGGTTTACCTCCAACTCAGGAACTCATACCCCTTCTATTCATCATAGAAATAGCGCCTTGCGGTCATAAGAAGTGGCATCCCCGGTATCGGCCGATTCCTCACTTCAAGCCATGCTCCTCCTTAGCTCACCATCTTCTACTCATCCCTGAGTCTTGCGACTCTAGATGTCATCTCAAAAAAGATCCCTTGGGAACTAACTCGATTTCCCTCTCGAGGTATGCTCTGTCAAAACTCATTCAACATGGCCCTCTGGCCCCAAAGTCTTTCATATTTGATCTTAGTATAACCAAACACAATAGAATAACTGGAAGAACTAGTAGCACTAACCACCACGGTCATGGTACTCGAACTATGTTATCTCTTCTCGATCCGCTAAGAAGCATGGTACTCGAACCATGGCTTCACCAATCAAGCTGCTACTTAGCATGGTACTCAAACCATGACATCAGACCTCAAGCTGCTACCAATCATGGTGCTCAAACCATGACATTCCTCTCAATCTGCTACCAATAATGGTACTCGAACCATGGCATCACTTCTCAATCTGCTACCAATCATGGTACTCAAACCATGACTTCACCTCTTAATCTGCTACCAATCATGCTTAATCAGCGACTTAGAATCTCCAGAATACTCCCTGCATCAAGTATAGGTCCTCTGCTTTCAGTAGTACGGGCCCATACTACCTACGACATCTACCCATAGTTACCACACGGACCATCCCAGATTTCCTAAGCAGCTGCTCAACCTTCTTGTTCATCCATGATGTTACATGTGTTCACTCCCCAGCGAAATGCTCTACCCTATCAGTGCACTCATCTAAACACGGTCAACCCTAGGCTCTTCCTAGGTGCTTACACTTCTCCGCCATCAGCTGCTAAAGAACTCCTAATGATGCTAGTCGTCTACCTCCTGAATATCGTCATATTCACTCAGTAGCTGACTCCCATCACCGAGAGTTCCACAAAGCAAGAAGCAAGCAACATTTGGGCATCGAATAATCTCTATCTACACGTATAACAACTCTAGGTTACAACTCCGCTTGCTATATACTTACTCAAAAGATATCATCGAGCTTAAGCATCTCCACCCCTTGTGGGTATCTGACTACCTTCTCAGTAGGCTCCTTAAATGCTCATCTAGGTATCTCTCCTAGATTACTCCTCTATTCAGAACCCTCTCTAAAAAGGTTTCCTATTGGATACTCATACTCCGACATACTCAAAAGCAAATCACAGATAGCAGTAACTCCTAGGCTAAGGAATCACAAATCAGGCCTCTCCAGTCCTAAAATATGAAGTACCTAGCCTACTCTCTAGCATGCATAACATATCAGATAACATTCATAACACACAACGTAAGGTTATTTTAGCCACTCGAGGCTGTAACTCTGTAGGACCCTCCGGTCCGATGTGTCTAAGTGGCACCCTCCATTCCCATAGCTTATTGGAGCCTCTAGTCTGATCTAGCTTATTAGACCCTCCGGTCCGGTCTGGTTGAGGACATTCTGGCCTCATAAATCATTGGACCCTTTGGTCTAGTCTGTAAACTCTGCATGGCATAAATCACAAAGAAATAATGCACAACATAACATATAAGGTAGGATAACATAATACTTAATGTAAGCACATAATACCTTCTGGTCATACATAACTACGACTCAAGGTAAAGTATAGTGAGAAGACTCACCTCGGATGAAAAAAGGCTCCAATAAATGCTGCCACTGCACATCGGCCTCTAACACTGTGCCAAACCCATAGTTAACTCAATTAGGATCCAAAACCATACCTTCACTCATCAGGTTTAAAGATGGCCCACCAACTCGGTCCACAAATAACCCTAACCCATTGGGCCCAACCAAGCCCAATACTAAGTGGGCCCACCTAAGGCCCAACCCGTAACTCAAGTCAAGAAGGCAAGACCAACACTAGGGCCGACTAATAGCCCAATCTTCCTAATTGGGCCCAAACTTAAATGGACCTAACCCTCAAGCCTAATAATCCTTTACTAAATCCCAGGAGGGTGAATAGAGCATTTTGCCCCTCAATATTCGCATTTGCTCGAAACACTAACAAGTCAACTGAAAGTCAACACTTGCCACGTACGCTGGTTGTACATCTCTCTATGTTGGGCGTACGCTTAGTCATGCACACAACGGGGGTGACTCGGTGCTACAATGCGCGTAGTTGGGTGTACACTCGGCGTACGTCCCAGACATGCTTATCCCACTCAAGTGGTCTTAACCCGTTAAGAGAAAGGCTACCATCTTAGTTCTCAAGTGACTCGGCGTACACCCGTTAAGACATGCTTATCCCACTCAAGTGACTTTAAGCTCTATCAAGGCGGAACAAGTCAAGATCTCATAAACTCTCATTTTTTTCTCCATAAAGTCCACATATCTCATAGATTGGGAGATCTTGACCACTAAGACTCCATTTTTATAAACTTATACCATCTAAAGGCATCAAAGGGGACAAGCACAAGGTTATTGGGTTGACCAACTCAAAAAGCTTCAAGCTTTGGGGACATAAACCCTAAAATGGACCATTATATGAACCATGCAAAAGAAGAGCAAATTTTTGAGCTTGATACCTCTGAATAATGCTTCATACTCTAGGAAACTCATATCCAAGAGCTCGAATGACAACTATTCTTCCTTCAAAGTTCCTTCTTCTCAAAAGAATTCCCTTAGATCACTTTATATGCCTCCAATGCTCACACAAGCCAAGAGACTAGATTTAGGGTTTTGTGGGAAGTAAGATGCTGGAATGGTGTCTAAACATAAGGGCATATTGTTCCTTATATAGTGATACTCCAAGACATTATGGTTTTCTTCTAGGACCTAGTATGATGGGCGTACCCTTTGGTATGCTAGGTGTACTAAGTGGCCTTCGCGTTTCTTCCACGCATATGAGTACGCTGAGCGTACACACAATTCCGTCCCACGTACTCGACTGCCACACATCTCAAAATAAGGACTTACTTGCTAAATCTTCAAATTTTCATTGATTTCTCTACATAACCCCGATTCCCACGAACCTCTTACCCTCGCATAGGTGACAAGATGCCCTAAGCTTTTAGCTGCGTGCCACAACCCCGACAATCCCTTATGCCTTGTTGTAGACCATGAACCCTAATCACGGATGATTAGAAACAGGATGTTACAGTCGCAGATCTGAACTCAAGTGGCTAAATGAGAAATCCGACGGAGCCAACTCGCTGAGTACATGGAATGACTCGACGAGTCGTAGCGGGTGTGACCTAGTAGCCTGGACCCAGTGTTAACTCATCGAGTTGGGAATCAACTTAGTAAGTTGAATGAACCCTAGGAAGAACATGGAGAGTGCGAGTGGACTTGGTGAGTCACAGGTGTGCACTTGGCGAGTCAGGTCAGTCTTGGTTGTTGACTCAATCTGGCTTTCTGTTGACTTCCTGGGTGAGTCAATAAGGGACAGGAGGGACCAAGGAGGGGTAAAATAGACTTTTACCCATCCCTAGGGTAAAAAGGGGAAAAGAGGACTTGAGGAGTAAATGAGTAATAAGGCGAATAATGATCGAGATGCTTGTCTAATGTGTAGGTGGAGGCTAGTCTAGGATTTTCGAGTGTTGTCTATTACCTACTAGCCATCAGGTGAGTCTTCTCACTATACTTTACCTAGAGTGGTAACTATGTGTGACCACAGAGTCTTACGTGCTTGATTGAGTTATGCATGTTTGTGTGACATGTATTGTATGCTGTGTTATTTGTTGCTTAGACAGGACCGGAGGGTCCAACGAACTATGAGACCTGAAGGCTCGCAACCAGACTGGTCCGAAGGGTCCAACGAGCTATGTCCAAACTAGAAGGTCCAACGAGCCAGACCAGACCGAAAGGTCCAACAAGCTATGGTCGGACCAGAGGGTCCAACGAGCTATGCGACTAGAGGGTTCCACTGAGACACATAGGCCGGAAGGTCTTACAAAACTATAGCCTCGAGTGGCTAATTACTTGTGCGTGGTATTTTGGGAAACTCACTAAGCTTCGTGCTTACCATGGTATGTGTTATGTGTTTCAGGTTTTCTCTGGATAGTGGGATGGTGTCGGCTTGATTGTACACACTAGAGGACGAATTATGTTTCGAGGATCCTTGATTATTAACTGATTAAACTTGGAATTATGTTATGTAACTAAATAAATGAGGTTTTCTGAAATGTGTTATGAATGTTATCTGATTAAAAATGAAAATTTTTGTTTGAAAATTCACGTTGTTACACATCTTGAGTGATTGTGAGACGACAATATCATGTAAGTCTTCAAACCAAGATATATGACTTGTTAACTATGAGTGGGTCGTGCATTGATAGTACGAAAACACATCAGTAACTTGATGTTATAAAACGTACTGTTGTGTATGATTTGGCAAATAGTTAGTACAAAAATATAAGTCGAAGTTTATCTGTTCCTTTTAGTCCTCGGAGGATTAAAAGAAATATCTTGGGCCCCACGATGATTTTGTTTTGACTTATGTGTCAGGACCGGTCAAAACTCGATTTATGTGTTCGATTAAGTTAAATAAAAAATCGAGAAATAAACTACCGGACAATAAGTATGACATTGTTCCATATATTTTTCCGACTGATATCTTGAGAATAGAGGATTATATGATCACTTGTCTAAAATGGCGCTTCTTAGTTCAACAAGGTTTTAAGAGCTATGATTGCTGGTTGGTTCCTGAAGTCATACTTGCAACTATATTTATTAGACTTATCCAAGTGGGATACTGTTGGATAAGGTGTCTAAGTACATAACTATAGTTGGTATGTACATGACCCGATTCAACATGGCCCATTTGGGTTGCACTTCACCGAAACAATTTGGACTTTTGAGAAGAGGATAATTATGATTTATTAGTATATTATAGGTTATAATATATTAATATGAAAGCATATTATTTAATTAGTATTGATAAAGATTTAATTTGGAATTAATTTTGTGATCAAAAGAGACTAATTAAATATATAAGGATTGATTGTGTAAATAAATCATTCTTATAATGTGGGCTAATGATTTATGATTCCTTGTGTTGGGCTTAACCCATATGGTGACCCATGGATACTCCATAGAGGTTAAAACCCATGGATCATGAGCAATGTGGAAAGTCATGCACATTAGGATTTAAATGGTGTAGCCCTAATGTAACCACGCTATATAAGAAGTCCTTTGGTTCAAGAAATTGGCACCTAGAGTCTTTGGAAGAGTGTAACCGATTTTTGTGAGCTAAATAGTCATCTTCCAAGTTTTCAAGTGTTAGTGGTGATTTGTGATTGCACTTGAGGCATTCACAGTATTGGTGCTAGACTCCTAAAGCTCCAAGAAACAAGCTACAACAAAAAGGTATGTTATTTATCTTGTTTTATTACCCAAGTATCAAAGTTTTGTATGCTAGCTAGGGTAATACCTTGTTAAATGAAAGTTTGCATGTATAATAAAGAAAACATAGATCCAAGGTATTTAGGGTTGCATGTACACCTTAGGATTGTTAGAATGCTCAAAACCCTTCATACATATGTATCTCGCTCTGAAGATTAACAGTTATAGTAGTGTGGGTATGCTATGTATTTAGACTCAACTAATGAATATTGGCTCACTACAAATCCCTTAATTAAAAAGTATGTGAATAGCTCTCAGCCCTAACTTAATTATGGTTAAGTCACTAGGCATAATGAATTTCATTGTATAAAGTTTATAAAAGTTGTGTATGTTTCGTATGTACGTAAAAGTATAATGTACTCGCTTTTATAAAGATGTATGTCTCACAATAATGAACATATGTACATGTATAAACTTCATGTATTTAAACATTTAAGCATACATGAATAGTATAGCTTGAATCCTTGAAACACTACAAAGTTTTATAAAGTGATTGTTATAATATACAATGTCACATAAAGAAAATCATGTATTTTTGTATCGTATAGCATTTGTTGTGTGTACTAGTTATTTTACAATAAAATATCTATAGTATGTATACAAAAAATTTACACTAGTTTATTTGTAGCAATATGCTAAATTTTTAAATAACATTTTTATAAAATAGATTTATTTTATTTTAACATGAAGGATAATATATTTGTATAAACAAAGTATAAAGGCACGTGTATTCTCCAGAAATAATTAAAATATTAAAAAGGCGTTGTAATCACTCACACTTGAAGCATGAGTTCAAATTATTTGAAGTTTGTTTATTTTTGAGAAGCTTGATGTGAGAAACCGCAAAGTCACGTTTCTTGAACTTTGAAATACTTCCGAGACTATTTCATAACAAATTTAAACTATTGGGGGCTGTTGGGTAACTTAATTAACGAAAGTAGGACTGATTTGGTTAAAATAAATCAAGTGAGGGACTGGAATGGTTCAAATGGTATTAATGTTTGAAAATTGGATTGATTTTGTTAAGGATTTCCAATGAAGGGGCTGAAAGGCATATTTTTATTCAAAGTTTGAAGACCGGGATTTATTTTGTTAAAAATAACCAAATTAGGGGCTGTTTTTTTTTTTTTTTTTTTTTTTTTAAATACACCAAGGTTTTGGGGAAAGGACTTATTTTAAAAAGAATGTTGCAGCAGGGGGGCCATTTGGTTCTTTTATCGAAGTTGGAAGAATTCTAGGGCTTTTATTTACCCTTGTCGCTGATCGAACAAAGGTATACAAAACGCGAATGAACGACTGCAGACACAAAGGAAACTCGAAGGCTAAAAAATCAGAAGCTTAACTTTTTTGAGGGGTTTTGATCCTCGATTGATTGAGAAGGAGGGCCACGATTGAGAACAACCACAAGGTCGATCAATGGTCCAGTGAGCGAAGTCACGAGGAGGGCAAGAAAAACAGGAGGTCGTCGCCTCTTGTTGTTCATCGGGAAAAGGAATCACCATCGGTGCGTTACTTGTCCGTAGAGGAAGATGAAGCGAGGGCAGCAAGGGCTGCTCGAGCAGCTCTTGTGCTCTTCTGTCTCGGAAGGAGGGTCCGAAGGCAGAAAAATGCGAGGCTTCGAGGTTGCTGGGTCGTGGGTGAGAAGGGGAAACACCCTCGGTATTTGATTGAACCGAAGAAGGAAAGAAGAACGGCGGCAGTGGGGCTGCCGTCGGTCTTGGTTTTTGGCGCAGGTGGTGTGTTTTGGCAGTGGAGCTCGACGGGAAGAAGGGCAGGTGTTCGGGGTTGCTGTTTTCTTGATAAACGCAGTTTTTTTTTTTTTTTTTTTTTTTTTTAATTTTTAAATCAATAGGGTTTTGGTTTTTGTTTGGCTTTGATTTTTGACAGAAAAATGAAAGAGGGAGGCTGCCACGAACAAGAAAAAGGAAAAACGAAGAAAGGAAGAGTGAATGGGAAACTGTGGTTCTTCTTGTTTGCAGGTGGACACGAGATCAAAAACAAAATCGTTCTTGGCTGGGAACGAAGATGCAAGCAGGAAAAGAAGCTGGAGGTGTTTTTAGGAAAAGAAACTGAAGGTGTTTTTGGGTGATTGTTTTAAATTCCTTTTTTTTGTTGAATCCAGAACTAAGTCTTGGATGATCATTTATGTTCTTTAGTTTAATGTATTTTGATAGAAATTTAGAAGCAGTTCATCTATGTATGTAATAGAATGAGAGAAATCATCCTCCTTACTTTGTACAGCTGATTTGTTTTCCATAGCTGGTTTGTCGAGATTTGATATATGATGTGATTTTGGAAAGATAATCTTAGGATTGTATTTTGTTTTGGTTCACAAATGTTTGTACTTCCAACATTTTTCACAATAATAAATACAATGTATTTTATAGGGATAATGACTTAAAAAGGTAACGAAGTTTCAAAATTGTACAAAAAAGATCATTGTTGTTTTTTTTTCTACACAAAATACCATTATCGGCTATTGTAGGTTATCCGGTCTTCAAATGTTCAAAAAATACCATTGTTGTTTTTTAGTACAAAAAATACCATTAATGTTACTATTTGTACACAGAATATCAACAAAATACATATGTGTTCAACTATAACATTGTGGTAACCAGGTACTTCAGGTAAATGGGATGAGATGAGCGTAATCAGCAAGTGGTTGTTTAATTTTTGTTGAAATTATTGGAAAAGATCTTACTTCCACCGTATGATCAGCCGAACAAGATTACAGGTGATGCTTCGGTTGATAAATTTTTTATTCAAATCAGTGATGAGAAGAGCGTAATCAGCAAGTGCTTGTTCGGCTGTTAGATAGGCTAAAGTAGAAGCATTCTTGTATGCCTCTTTCTGGCTTCCATATGGCATCGATTCACCATAATATCGATGCTAGATCAAATCACGCAGCTTTTGATAAAATTGTATTATTAAAAGTCTGCAAGTGAACAAATTAATGTAGAGTAGAGTGATTAGGGCTTTTACTTCGGGGAAGATGACCATGGCACCAAAACGAGGGGCGAGTTCCCAAACGAAGTCGGTGTTGGCAGCGAACGATTCGATGTCGCCTTTGTTGCCGCAATAAAGAAAGATTGGGCCCAAACGACTAGAGCCTAGGCCCACCCAGTGATCGGAGTTGATGAGATAATGTTGTTGGAACTTGGAAAGATCATTGAAACTGAAAATGATCAAGAGTCTGATCAAAGTATCGTGTCTCGTAAGTCTACTTCGGCTGAACAAGAATTTTTGGGTTTTGAGAAGCCGTGGGGATTTGTCGAGAAACGGAGGTGGCCGGTGAGATTCCGACGTTGATGAAAGTAGACAGATGATTAGGAGGAAGAATAAGAAAAAGGGTTTTGCCATGGTGGTGGAGGGTGGCGATGAACAACAGTAGTAGCCGAAGTGAAGTGGAGGGTTCTTTATAAAAAGTAGCTAAATTTCCATTACATTCAAAGAAGGAAAAAATGACTTAAAAAGGTAACGAAGTTTCAAAAATGTACAAAGAAAACCATTGTTTTGTTTTGTACACAAAATACCATTTTACCGGCTATTATAGGTTACCCACAAGGTATTATTTGAACACATGTGTACTTCATTGGTATTTTGTGTATAAAAAATATACTTTAATGGTATTTTGAATACTAAAAATAAAATAATGGTATTTTTTGTACATTTTTGAAACTTCATTACCTTTTTAAGTCATTATCCTTATTTTATATATGTATGGAAAAAAGAAAAATAAAGAAAAACATTTATGACAACAAATATGACCACAAATTTCATTTTTTATAATTACTATTAAATTTACTAAATCATCTATGACATTTATATAAATTATCAATATAATATTATTGAAATTTCACACCTTATATATATATATATATATATATATATATATATATATATATATATATATATATATATATATATATATATATATATATATATATATATATATATATATATATATATATGGGAAAAAGGAATATACATTACAGCCCCACCTAAGCTTAGGTACTAAATCTCTTGAAAGTACGTTGTTTACTATATAAAGATTACGGTTAATGGATTCACGATTAATACTTCAAGATGTAAATTCAAGATCGACACAATAGGGTTTAGGGTTTAGAGTTTAGGGTTTAAGGTTTAGGGTTTATGTTTAGGGCTTAGGGTTTAGGGTTAAGGTTTAGGGTTTAGGGTTTCTGGTTAGGGTTTAGGGTTTAGGGTTTAGGGTTTAGATTTAGGGTTTAGTGTTTAGCTTTAGTGTTTAGGGTTTAAATTTAGGGTTTAGGTTTAGGTTTAGGTTTAGGGTTTAGTAATGTTCACATGGATGAAGTAATAAACGATAATTGAGGAAAGAAAATAGAGATGATAAAACGATAAAGAAAGAAAGAAATGTTATGGAGAATGATATATTTACCAAGTGAAACCAAACCGGGTATATTTAGGATGTTAAAATGATATATTTTAGAGGTTTAGTACCTAAGCTTAGGTGAGGCTGTAATGTATATTCCCTATCCTCTCTCTCTCTCTCTCTATATATATATATATATATATATATATATATATATATATATATATATATATATATATATATAACTGACACATGTTGGATTGGATAATAACTTATTATTTCTGGAATATATTGCTAATAAATGAAATCATATCGAAATCAATAGTTTAAGGATTCGCGATTTACCGATTCAAAACGTCTAACCTTTTGACTTTTATAAATATTTTTTATAAAAATATTTCAAGTATGAAATTAAATAAGACCTAAGTCCAAAAACATTCTCAAAACTTCCATCTGAGGCGTGCAAGTCCCTCAAAGGGTAGAAACGGTTTTAGTAATTTTAGGAAAAATAGTATTATACTGGTTTGTGATTCATAAAACAGTCGTATCTTTTGCATACGAACTCTGTTTTGGACGTTAGTTATATTTTTGAAACACAAACACTGACTACCATACTACAGTGTTTGTATTGCTCACAACAGCTTAATACAAAATTTCAGTTTTTCAGACGCATTCCTAAGGTTGCAGTTTGAGCTGTTTGATTTGTTTTACCAGCTTATGTAACACTCGCAGATTCGGGCTAGGCAATTAAAATATAATAAGCATTAAAAATGATTTTTTTAATAGAAAATTATCTAGGATAAATAATCTTAACCAAAGTAATAGTTAGGGTCAACAATTGTAACCTATTTGACGTAATAAAGAAGAATTATATGAATATTATGTGTCATGATTATTATAGTACAATAAAATATGAAAAATCAATCGAATCGTCTCTAAATTGTAAAATAAGTGCGCCAAAACATGTATATATTATTATATAATTAGAAAGTAGTCGTCTTCCCGATTCCGAAAATATAAATTTCGTAGAAATCCGACTTCATATAAATTCGATATGATTTTTATAAGATATAAAGCCAGCCGTGCATAATGAATGTATAACGTAAAAAACTATGAAGAGAATTGTTGACTTTTAGCTAAAGCTACCAATAAGAAAATCTTAGTACCCTTTAAAATAAGAATTTTGAGAAAAAGAATGCCAAAGACGGTGTCCGTATGAAAGAGTTATAATTTTAACAAAATAATTTAATTTTATAAAAATATGGATGAAAATTAAAATCAAAATTAGCCGACGGAGTCTAAATGAAAGTTGTTGATCTCGTCGATTGTTGTGCGTGGATTTAAAAAATGTGAAAAACGAAGTTCGTATGAATGAGTTATAATTTATAATAGCCTATTTACGTATTAAAATAAAGTATAAATCATATATAGATATACATATATATAAATAGTAGAAAGGTATCGACGATGCGGTCGGTATAAGACTATTGTTGACTACTTTCGACATCAATTTAGTACACATATCATTAAATCTTTTAAAAATAGTATTATAAATGGGTGTTTAGTCGTTTAAATAACTATAAGGTCATTTAAGTAACTATAGAGGGTGATTTTTAAAAATTCAATTACTATAAATAAGAAGCTCTAGGCTCTCATATTTCTTGCATCATTCTCTTGATTCAAGAGTCTTTCTCTTCTTATCATCCGAACATTTTGGTCTCTCGTGATTCGACTTATCTTTCTGTAGTTTTAGTATTGCAAGGTGAGCGCCGAAGCACTACAAGAATCTTTTTAGAAAGATTCAGCGACGAAGATCTGCCCGCACAGAGCCCGATTCATCGCTAAACTCCCTTGTAAGTGAGTTATGCTTACTCTAAGTATAACTTATGTTAAAGTTTACTATTGCTATTATGAACCTATAAACAATATATGCACTAAGTATTATAAGTTATACAAAGTGTTATTATAATACCTTTTAAGTGCTCGTGGTACGTGGAATCTGGTATGAAGGGCCCTCCGGTGTTTCATGTCTCGCCCCTGTCTGTACATAGTAGTTGAAAAATACTGTTTAACACTTATATAATACAAGAAAAACAATATTGCCCATAGACCTTGAGTTAATGATATATCTAGACTAATAATTAGTCACAATAAATATTAATCTAAAGTCTAGTAATGATGATACTAGGTTTCGTCGAAGGAAAAGACAATTGTTTGAAACAAAGCGTTGCCCAAATTTCGAGTTATCACTTCAACAAGTGAGTGCATAGTTACTTTCATCTTATATACAAATATGAAGTATTTAATATAAATTACGTGTTATATGTGCCAATTATCCGTGTTCTTGATATCTATGTTGGATGAACGATTTATACACGTTTTACTTGATTTACACTGTAGATGTATTTTTATACCTATAAATATGTTGGGTAAAGATGGGTAGATAAAAGATGAGATGAATAATGAGAGATTAAAGATGATATAGATGATTAGAGGTGAAAGATAATGAGAAGCCTTGACCTTAACGATGATCTAGTCATCTAGCAGAGTATAGATGATGACCATAGACTATTCTAGACAATCCAATGGAATGCTAACTTGTAGGTGTTGTGAACGATGTGCTCACTAGATGTACTCTAAAAACCTTGGTAGTTATGGAGTTAGTTCCATACAAATGAATGTTGGCAGCCATGGATTTAGTGCCCTATAGATGGGTATTGGCAGCTATGGACTTAGTG